GAGCTAAATGGTTCTGAGATCTCCTGTGTTCTCCATTTTAAGAGCATCTCTAAATTTATTCCCTCTCATTGCTTACAATTACCTTTTAGTTTTATTTCTATAAAACAAAACAAAATAAAGATGTGCTACCAACAAGTCACTTGGATATAAAACATTTTAAAGACTGGGCAACAAGTTTGTGAGTTTTCTTAAAGTCATTTTTCTCTCCTTTGTATATCAGTGCTTCATGAGTTTAAGGTAGTCTGGTATCTGCTATGTCAATCTTATAGAATACAGAATCATAAGGCTGGAAGGGACTTGGAAATCGTCTAGTCCAACCCCTGCCCAATGCAGGTGACCTTATACATATCACAGACAAATGGTTATCTATTTTTTTTCTTGAAAACTTCCAAGAATGAAGCACTCACATTTCCAGGAGCCAAACTGTTCCATTGATTACAGAAAATGTCTTACTTCTAGGTAAGATCTCTCTTTAACAAGTTTTCACCAAGTGCTGCTTGTCCTGCCCTTGGGTGCTTTGGAGAATAAGTCAACCCTTCTTCTCTGTGAAGCCCCTCAAGCACTCAAAGGCAGCTATCATGTCACCCCAAATTCTTCTCTTCATTAGGCTAGATGTACCTAGTTCCCTTAACCATTCACCCATACAGTTTAGCCTCCAGACCCTAATTGTTTTTGTTGCTCTCTGCATACTTTCTGAGATCTCAGCACGTTTTTTTGTATTGTGGCTACCAGAACTGAAGGCAGTATTCCAAGTAGGGACTTATTGGTGCTGTATAGACAGTGCTATCATAGTGATCTTGATGCTATTCCTTTGTTACTGAAAGCTAGGATTGCATTGGTTTTTTTGGCAGCTGGAGCACACTGCTGGTTCATACTGTCTAATGTCCAAGCACTAACTGTTGCCACTGTACTTAATGGAATGAGGACTGTTGCCAAAAAACCGGATACATTTCAGGAATTCACATAGTAACACATTCATAAATATGTACAACATGCATTACAGTGAGACAGTCTCAAGCAACAAATTGCTGACGCTAGTTATGCAGCTTCTAAAAATACTGCCAAAACATTGGCTGATTGGCACTAGCCTCGATCATTTATTCTTCTGCAGATCAGCAAGATTTGTAGACTTGTAGCTGGCTAAAATGGGACTAAGCAATAGGTCCAAAGTCCAAAATCAGAGCAAGACAAAAGTTGAATATCACTGGATTTCTGTTCAAAATAAAAAAGTAAGCATCATGAGACTTAGAAAGAACTCACATGTCAACCTTGTTGCAGCACTATTCTGCTGCAAACTAAAGTATTTTCTTCTCCTACCTTTAGTGTATCAGATTTTGCTAACTTGTTAGTTTTGGAAGAAAGAAGAAGTGAAGTAGTATTATCTAGATCCCTTTAAGTCTGGTTTCCAGCCAAGTTATAGCACTGAGATGACACTGATTGCCCTGCTTGATAATCTCTGGCAGACTTGGGATGGAGTTGGAATCCTGGCCATTCCCTTAGAGGCCATTGATATACTATTACCAGTTCATGTTGATGTTGAGGCAGAAGGTTCCACTTGGCGGGTTGGTTCCAATTGCGGCAGAAGGGAAGGGGAGAGATCCAGTTCTAGACCCTTGTATTACAAGTGCCTCAAGATTAAACTCCTTCCCTGCTCCTGTTTAGCCAACACATAAAGCCACTAGGTGAGGTAATTTATTGGCATGGAGTTACCTATCATCAATATGGAGATGATACAGAACTGTATATCTCTATCCCTGGTTTGCCAAGCAAAGCCATCAACAATCTTTCTTAATGCCTGGATGCTATGGGGGATGGGATGGGATAGAACTGGACTTAACTCAACCTTAGCAAGACTGAGTGGCCCTGGGTTTAGGTACACCACATCTGGAGTTGTTCTATAGTTGATTTTGATTAGGATAGTATTCTCCAAAACTGATCCCATGGAGATCCTCATGGTTCCAGCTTGGCAGTCCTGGCCAAGAGAGGCTTTCCACAAATCCAGCTCATGCAACATTTGTGGTCATTTCTGAACTGAACTGCTGTAGTCACAGTCAATCTGTCTTTGCTGCAAGTTAATTTTGTCATACGTATCAGTATAAGTTGAGGCAGCCCACTACTATTTCATCATTCTCTTAATGGTGGGTAGTTATAATAGATGAATTATTTGAAACCTATTAGTGCTATATATTTGGGATTCCAACCGGAGTCAGGATCATTTCAGATGGAAAAGGTCATTAATTTTTTTTGAGGGAATTCTGATAATTATTGTAATATCCTATACCCTAAGCCAGACTGTACAACATATACGGACCAAGGATTTCAAGCGGCTCACCAAGCAGCCTTGCATGGCCGACCACAATTTTTTTTTAAAAAAGTAATAAATTCACTGCTTCCACCACCAAGGTATGCTGCCAGAGGTCTCCAAGCCTTTGCTGCCACCAGCTCTAGCACTGCTGCCACTCCACTAGCTACCAAACGTGTCATGTACTCCTTTGCAGCCTGCAAGGATCTTTCATTTTACAAGTTGGGCAGACCTAATCTAGGGTGTGCTGTTGCTTCCTACAGTTGAGTACAGTTGAATACAGTACAGTAAAGTGAATGCAGCAAAGAACTGTTTTATCCCACCACATAATTATTAAATTTATATACTACCATCTCACTACAGTATCTAGTTTCAATCTAAGCAGCAATTTATTCTTTCTGGAATCCTCAGGACAATTCCTCAAAATAATTTGAGACTTATGAACACATTTCCAGATATGTATTTATCCCCTCATTTAGGCTCTTTACTCTTTCCCTTTAGATGGTTCCATCAGCACCATTTGCCTCACAGTAGTGTTGTTGTTTTTAAAGCAGACTCTGCCCAAGCGGAAGATAGTAGAAGAGTCATTCTGAGTGAAAAGAATTGAGAGACAGATTTAGACTGACCTGGAAGACAGCATTAAGTATACATTACATTGCTGGCAGAGGCAGGGGTGGAGTGAACTAAAGCTAAAACAAAGGTTGCTTATCTGGATGTAAAATCTATCTGTAAGCTGGCAACAGAGCTCAGAAGCTAACTTTTCATTTTTAAACTCCATTCTGTGCTTCTTTGAGTTTCTCCATCTGTCTCTTCCTAAAGTGAATCAGATGACCATGCTATACTGAAAATCTCCAGTCTAAAGAAACTGAGTAAGACAATGTCACTGAAGTGTCACAAACACTGATAGTAGCTGCTATAATATGTATGTGCTCTGCAAGAGATTTCTTCATGAATCCACTGTGCTGGGGTATCCAGGGAGAAAGTAGTGATTAAAAAAATGTCAAGTTAATGGCTGCGATCCAGCAAAGCTGCGATCTTGACTTTTTTTACATATACCCCAAATATCTGAGACTACATTGAGATTTTCTTCTATAACAGTTCTTGGTGTTGAAAGGAATTAAGTCTCTAATACTGAGCTAATGAATTCTTAATGTTTCTAAAAGCTCATGTTTAATTCAAATAAACATTAAAAATGTCTAAATGATGGATACTTATAGAATACAGACTGCTTAAAAGACCACCTAGATTCACCACATTGGTTTATGTTTTAAATCTTTCTTTCCCCTATAAGTACAGAGGCAAGCTATAAACTGATGAAATTTACTTTTATTGTGAATATGGGTAAACAAAATAGACAATACTTAATGTTAAAGGTCTGAAGATCACTGAAAGTATTGTAAATAAAGATGTGCCATGATTTCTCTTCCACAGGCACAGTGGAAAGCAGGAAATAGGTTTGTAGGCAATTGTTCTTTTCCAAGAAAATATGTGGTACACAAATACTGTGTAGTATACACACAGTGAGTACTAGTAATAAATGGACTCCAATATATTATGGGTTGGTTGTGCACATTCTACCTTACCTGTAACAGCCACTGCTGTTTCCATTATGTTTCATTGTTGCATGGACACAGATGTGAAATGTTTATCCATTTTAATATATTTAAAAATATTATTACCCAATTTGTAATGCCTCCATTTTATCTTCCTCCCCTCTGTTGAACTTAACTGATTTAGCATGGCCCTGGAATTTATAGAGAGCAAATTCAGCTAATCATTGCTCAAATGTAGAAAACTAATAGCTAATTCTGAGAATTCACCCTATCTGCAAATTTTATCTCAAACCCACTAGTCAATAAGTTCCCTTTTAGTTCTTCATGAATCAACAATCAACCCCTCCCTCTTCCTTCACAACAAACCTTCAATTCACTATGGTGCTATTCTAGCATGCACTGTGAAATGTCCCATCTCAGTAAATTATGAAAATTCAGCAAGCTAACCAAGCTGCATACAAGGGTATTTTTTCAGAGTTAGACTGTGTCAAATGGATCTACAAAATGGGACACTTGGGAGGCCATCTCTCCAGTGAGAAAAACAACTCCTGCAAACAGAGGATTAACATTTCATTCACAGCTGAAACAAAGGAAGGGGAAGGAAACATGAAACATGTAGTTTTCACCAAGTAGAAAGGAGACACAGTTTTTAGAAATTTGCAACATACAGTACTAGTACAGGTTTGCTGTAAATTGCTTAAATTAAGTTTAAATTAAGTGATTTTATATATAGGTGGCAGGGAAATTGGGGATAGCATTCATAGCTACAGAGAGTTCTCTGAAGGAAGTATTGAATAGTAGGAACGAGGAGAGGGCAAGACTTACTAACACTACTGACTGAATCCTAAGACAGACTCTCTTTGCTTACAAGAATTATAACTCCTTGAAATACTGAGAACTCACCACTGTAATGAAACCATCTGCAGTTTTACGCTGATTTATGGCAGCATCTTGGCTATTCTTGAAAAAGCTAAATGAGGTCAAATCTGTTCTTTGGATGGACTCATAAACAAGCAGTCCCACCCGGAAATCCTACAACTATTAATGGAAGGAAGGAAGGAAGGAAGGAAGGAAGGAAGGAAGGAAGGAAGGAAGGAAGGAAGGAAGGAAGGAAGGAAGGAAGGGAGTCCAGTTTTAGGATACCACATTGTGATTATCATCAATAAAAGTATAATGATGTGTCCCATGTGATCACTAGGAATTGTATTCAGCTCAGCTGGGATTTTTCGATATCATATGGAAATTACATACATAAAGTCAGCACATACACAGAAACATACATTTAGAGATTGAAAATACTAATTCCATTCAAAAAGTATACAATTCATTTGCAAAATGTACAGAAAAGATCCTTATTTATTATAGTGCACCAAAGCTCTGCATTATGAAAGATATATACTGAATCACAGTCCGTGCATGTGAAAAAAAACATAAGTGGATCCAGGTTTATTGTTTAAATAGGAAAAATCCTACATTTGCTTTTATTCCATTTCCTAGTCTTATATCTCATGTGAGAGAGAAATGTCATGCATTTTGCCATTTTTGATATGAAAGGGCACTCTCAATAGGCAAGAACAAATTCTAAGGCAATACATAAAACTGATCTCTGGAAAGCAAAAAAAATGTACATGGTAGATGACAAAAAATATCTACTAAGGAATGATATAATAAACAAATATAGCTTGCAGTGACAAATATGTGGCCATTAATTATTAAAACTCTTTGCTGTTAAGATATATTAGGACCACATGAGACTATAGATCAAAAGGTTCACAACTGAAACAAGATAAAAATAACCCACTAAACTATAATGTGGCAGAGGCCCTAGTGTGATAATTCAATTGAAAAGATATAGTGATTCAGAAGAAGTCTTATTTCAAGCGAATAGGTGTGCTTTCCCCACCAAGAGACATGTGACCTGAATTAAACTAGATTATCAGCACAAAATTTTCTAGGCTTTTTATAACTATTTCAGGATACAATAATGTTTGTGTACGTGCTCTGATGAAACTAATATAAAATACATACTATGATCATGTAACTTGGAAAGTAACTCAGAACAATGCCTTCTTCAACCTGATGCTTGTGGAATACATGAACTGAAGTTCAGTGTATCTGAAGGAAAGCAACCTGAGGTAATGACTGGACTGATGCTTATAAAAGTCTGTAGTAAATCCACCATGGTACATTCAGAAAGTACAACAGCAAAATACTGAGGTTCTTGTTTCTGTCTCAATTACATAATTTGTTATCACTTGGTGCATTTTTTTAATTGAAGCTGCACTTAAATTTTAGCTGCTCAAATTATAGACAGTGTACATCATCTAAAGCAAAAATCTTTCCACTTAACCTAGTCCAATGTTAATAATCTTACTTCAGACATACAAATACATATGTATATATACATATATACACCAAGTCTAGTTTTAGAGCCCATCAATGTTTCAAATGTGACAATTTAAATATTACAGGTATATTTTAAAAAATAACTTAATTTGTATCCTATGGGTAGGGAAAATTTGTATTTTGAAATAAATAATATACTGGCAAAGCAATTTGAATACAGAGTAACTACAGTTAGAAAAGCTACCCCAAAGTGCTACTACATTAATATTACAAATGAGTAATTAAAGATAAACAATCTTTTCTTCCATGCCACCATTTTCTGAATCTTGTTCCATGTCACAAGGTAAATTATGAAGCAGAACATCTGAAGGGTGAAGTAACTGAAAGCTGCCATGACTTGAATCAAAATCTTGTAATCTTGGGTACTGGCTCTGCAATGCATTCATATCTAGAACATAAAAGCATAGGTAGGTTAAAATTACTTCTCAGCTTGCACTATGCATGTAACCCTGGTAAATAATTATATTCAAAAATTTTCTTAATGGCTACTTTGTGGGACCAGCCCGTGATATTTCACTGCCTAAAACAAAGCAACCAAATAGAACCATCATCCACCAAAGTCAAAGTGCAAAATATCCAGTGTTAATTTATTTTGGCATGTGAACATATCTTGCACATGTCTGTTTCCCACTTTGGCAATAATTATACAATAACAAATTAAATCATTAACTTAAGACTTGTGTGATTTATTTTCCTAGGGCAGCTGCCTCTTGAACTTATTTCCCTATAACAAATTTGCAGAAACATGTAGTGTCATCATTTCATATTTTTCTCACCAGAAAATAAAACAAATAAAAAAATATCAAAATTAATAAATATTAAATAAACTTTTAAAAAGATAAAAAAAGATAATCCAGTGAGTGCCCAGTTGAGTGAAATGCAAGAGCTGAGTTACAACAGAAACTCTTGTGCTGCTTATTGCTCAATTTGTTTTACATGACCCTTTAGCAAGAATTAGACTGGTTCCATTTTAAAACTTTGTCCATGGCCTGAATGTGCTGTAATTATTAAACTTGTCTGTTATAATTCCAGGTGTTTCCCACAATCCTGATTCACAGGGTTCCATTTATTCTGGGAATGGGAACAACCTGCATTTTTTTAATTAACATGTGCAGGGAGTTATCTGGAAATACTTCTGGAAGACAAAGAGACTACAAATGCCCATTTCTGGATCCAATCCAATCAGACCCTACTGTTCAACCACTGAATTGGTTATGAGAATCTCCTTAAAAGCCAATTAGCAGGAAGAACTACAAATACTGTAAAATTTTGGGGGG